TTTTTCTGTTCAATAAAAGAAAAAATACTTTTATGTCGATTGTTGCATCATCAATAAGGTGAACATACTTTCATTAACGCTATAATACACTTCATTAGCGTGGACTAGACTTTCAATAACGATATTCAAATATGCACGAACATTTAACAGCATCAACTGATAAACAATAGCACGTACAGACATTTCTTACGCCACAAAATGTAATAACTCGCAAATATTGATTTTCTGGATATTTAAAATGCGTTATTGAAGTTATTACATATTGCGTCAAAAGTTATTACATTTTGCATTGTTATTACATTTTGCGTCAAAAGTTATTACATTTTACGTTGTTATTACATTTTGTGCGAGTTATTACATTTTGTGGCGTAACAACATTCATGGAGATGGAATGTATTTCCTTTTACACTTATAATGAAWCTTCAATAACACCAATTGACAAACACTACCATTCATAGATAATCATTTAGCGAAAATAGTAAATTCATTAGCGCAATTAGCATAAACATGGACAGTCAATTCCGCGTTTATACAATCATGAGCGTCAACGTTATATTCTATAGCGTGGTTCGACAAACATTTGCATGATTCAAATGAACAATAAGAGAAATAAAACAATCATTAACCATCGTGCATTAACATACATTTTTATTTTAGCCTTCAATTTCTTCGCCATTTATACATCGTGGCAAACACGTTTGCATATATCTGAACCACTGATAGCCTGCGTCACCGGGGTATTTACGAAGAAAATTCCGGATGTGACGCAGGCTAAACCACTGACCACTTTTCGCGATAGTGCCGGATAGCTTCAAGATAGTCCAAGCCTCTAATACACGGATGGCTTGGCTTAACTATAAATTTTAGTGTTGACTGACTGGTTGGCGGAACCAAACGTCATTAAATACAAATCAAGTTGAATACAGTAAAGAGCATTCAGTCAAACTGTTGAATAGTTAGATAAATGTATCTAACTTAGTTAACTACTTAGCTGACGTCACCTGAAATAGTAAAAGCGCGCCAAATAACGGTCATGCTAATCCGGAGGTTTGTTTTACCAGAKAATGAGTGAATAGACATTCATTTGTATCATCGTTTCTCCCCCTGATCTCAGTAGCTGTTTACTCGGAGTTTCAAATTTATATGAGGTCAGCTAAAATAGTAACTAACTTATCTAATTTAGGTGAAGTCAACTAGAGTGCAAACAATAAAGTACAAACACTATAAGTGTGTAAACATAAATACCACTAAATACTCAGTGCTAAATTATGCTAATTCTATTGTTTTCTATTGTTTAACTAGCACTATTCACTACTAAATAGTGCAAAGTGTTGCACACTTTTAGTGTTTGTACTCTATAACCGTGAAACTTTAGTAATACTAAATAGC